TGAATCATCAAGAATATAGATAATCGAAAAGTTTGAGGCAATTTTTAGCCAATTAAGTAATGACAACATTTTGACTGCTGCCTTAATGAATGCAATTAGCCTATATTTAATTAGTGGAATTTCTTAAGATCACATTAATCATTATAATAAAGTCGTTTTCCCAATTAACAATTTCACTTATCATTGATGGGTATTAAAGGGAGGAAAATGGAGATATTTTCAAATTCAAACAACTTGCAATTGTTATGTTGATCATAATATAATTAATTGCGTTATTAAAGTCAAAGATGATATCTTATCAACTTCAATTCTTAACTTTGATATTTTTGTCTTTAAAGATTCCCTTTGTTATCCTTTTGATTAAATTATTCATAGTAAATTGGGTCAGTTACATATATTTGTCTGATCGTCAAAATGTAATATTTGCTAGTTAACTATATATATATATATATATATATATATATTTATTAAAATAACATTAATTTTGAGACAGAAGAAATTATATTTTGAATCATCAAGAATATAGATAATCGAAAAGTTTGAGGCAATTTTTAGCCAATTAAGTAATGACAACATTTTGACTGCTGCCTTAATGAATGCAATTAGCCTATATTTAATTAGCAGAATTTTTCTAATCATATTATAAGGTCGTTTTCCCAATTTGCAGTCCCACTTTATCATTGATGGATATATATGTAGGGAAAAAATGAAGATATTTTTCGAGTTAAAAAGACTTGCAATAATTAGGTTGATGTAATTAATTTTGGTATGTCAAAGGAAATTTAATTTTGGAATTACTTTCTTAATTATGAGAAAATTAATATTCTTAACTTGATACTCCCTCCCTCCCATTTTATATTTCATTTTTTTATTTTGCACTTGCATTAAGAAATGATGTAACTTTACCCTTCTACCCTTATTTAATGTTTTCTTAAGTCAACTTTATTAATAAATGACAAGATTAATTAACTATTCTATCAAGGGTATAATATGCAAAATATGGCAATTTATGCATAAATTTTATAAAATGACAAGTATTGTGGTTCAACTATTTATAGAAAGGGATGACATATAAAATGGGATGACCTTTTTTCTTTAAAGATTGCATTTCTTATCCTTTTGTTTAAGCTATGATTAATGATAAATTAACTAAATAATTATCCGCTTAGTCATTTAAATTAAAATACTCGCGCAATTTTTTTAAAAAAAATATATATATAGTCTTACAAAAATAAACAATAAATCTGACGATTTATGTATGTATGTCAAAGTCATATAAAGAGATCACTCATCTCAATATGATTGATGTGAGACTTCTGTAACATCTTTCTTATGTTCAGGATTGGACATCTGAAGTATGGACAATTTTTATATGAAACTCAACATCGAGAACAAAAATGGAAAGGGGTATTACCTAGCTACCATAAAAAAATAAATTAAAAAGAGAGTTTTGGACCTAACTCAACTAAACTAACTCATGAGGGTGAGAGTTATCCAAAACATCAAGAAACTACTCATTCCATAATTGACCGATATGAGACTTCTTCAACACCTTTCTCACACTCAGAACTCAACATTACAAGCATAAACAATTTTAATATGAGGACCCAACCACAAAAACGGAAATGGGAATTCATCCTACCTAAATACTATAATAAATGAATGAATCTTGATCTAACGCAATCCAAAAATTAACGTAAGAGGTAAGAATTATGTCAGTCATATAAAAAGACCACACATCCTATAATTAACTGATGTGAGACTTCTTCAACACATTACTCTTAATGGGATGGTTGAGAGCTAACTTATGTCATTCTTGTTCTAAGACATTATTATAAAATTCATCCTTTGCAATTATTATTCTTGTAATGTCTAATCAATGAAGGTGAGATGGGGAACAATTAGATATATATAAATTAGTTTAGACCAAAAAGATTGTACTTAATTAGAACATATACTTATAATTTATAATATGGTTGTTAGTGCAGATATACATTATTTTGAAATTGAGATACTCTGAGATTGTCATATTATTATAAGCCAAACTTTTTCAAGTTTCTTTATTTTTTGTTTAAATAAAATTTGAGTTGGTCTCTCCTTTTAATAAGTAAAAATAATCAAAATATTCCATTATAATTTATAATTATATATCTGCAGTCCCTTCTTTTTTTCCCCTTTTTAATAATAATTTATTTAAGATAAAATATTAGTGGATGACAAAATTGATACACTTGTCATATTCTCTCCACAATTAAATTAATGGGTGGATTATACAAACTGAAAATGTGTAGGTCCCTTTAATTTATGGTATAAATGGACAAACGTAATTAGCCAAACTACTTATCTGTACTTATCGTTAAAAACAAAACAAATAAATATATATAATATATATTTATAGTAATTAAAAAGAGATTAGTAATAAACAAAAATTTTAAACTAAGTGACAAGTTTTTTTTAAAAAATAAATAAATTATCAATGTAATGATTTTAACTAGTGGATAATGTATTAATAAACAATAATAAGGAACAAAAACATTACTCCATGATTATGTGATTTGTTTTCTTTAATTTCCTTGTGATTTTATTTATTGATTTAATTACGTTGAGAAACTAGATGTCGAATATTTTGAAAATAATATGATTTGATGTAGTCAAACAAATTATATTACAATTCAAAATGTGATTAATTTTTTTTAATACTTCTTGTGCATTGTATTAGTTTTTGTTTTGGTAATATTGCTTGCATATTTGTGCGGATATTATATTACTATAAAGAAAAAATAGAGAATAAGAAGATAAAAGAAAAGAAAAATCAGTTGCCAAGATGACCTTTAATTTTAAAATTAAAAGCCGGCAGTGTTTGGAATTTATAGTTTATTTGTGACCAATTCTATTATTTTTTAACCTCTTCATATAAACATTATTTTTTTCTCCTTTGTTTATTCGAGTCCGTAATTTTAAGATTGGATATAAAAGATATTTATCATACGAGCAACTCCCTCTTGAGATATTTAGTGATGTTTGTGGTCCAATTAGTATAGAATATCGCCTATTGAAATTTGTAGGAGAGGAAATCCTATTTTTGCGTAAGATTGTATATATTTTTATATAATTGGATAAAATATGTATAAATAGCTCTTATATGCTTTTAGTTTTATACAAAGTTGATATATTGTTTAAAGCAAGTGTAAATATTATATATGACTATGTGGATTGCGACGTGTTATGTTTGGGCTGTATATTTTTTTTTAAAAGTTCCATATTTTTATAAGAATAAATTGCACCCTTATTGGAAAAGGTAAAAATGAAAAAAAAATACATTCATTTGGTGTGATATTTTAATGTTTCTTAGAAAGGGAAAATCACATTGTTTAGTAAATATATACTAGTTAATTAGTTGTCATAGCTATAATTTTAGTTAATTATCACCCACGATCAACTATCAATGATCAACATGAAATCATAACTATTTGTTATAAGTTATAACTATCATACCACAAACTTCTTTGTTGGCAGCTTTGATATTATGACGATCCGATTACCGATATGATTTATGAATTATTAATAAGATAGCTAGATTGAATAAAGAATAAGGTTATACCACTCTATTATTAGTATTTTATTTTTTATTTTTAAATTAAGGGTAGGGGAAGAAGAAATAGGGATGAAGATTACGAGGTGGAAATTCGAATCCACACCAACCAACGAAACTACTAAGATTCTCAAATTACTCTATTATAACTTCGATGTCATACACTTTTTGGTTTGTAGCTTTAAAATTATGATAACCTAACTATCTTGTTGGATTAGTCATAAGTCATATCAAATAGTCACAAGCTCTATGTTGACTCGAACCAAAGCTTGCTTCGGAAGTTGGCGATATGCAAGGGAAAATATGTTATTAAGCAATTTTGAATTGAATTTAAATTAACCGAATAAGTGAACTTTGAATATCAAATAATTAAATTGAAAATAAAAATCACATATATTTGTGTTTTTATATGTTTTCCACAACCTTAGGTTGTGCATACTTTACGCATAAATGTTAACAACCAAACTACCAATTTTTCTAACCAATTAAAAAATAATCCAACTTCTTATAAACTATTTTTCCCTAATCTTTATTTTCTTTCTTTTTCTTCCTTCTTTTTTATTTTCTCTCAAATCCCTCAATTTCTTTTCCTATCAATTATCCATATATAATATGAAGGCTTTCATTCATCTTCTTTATTGAAAAGGTGCATTTCCTTTATCAATTTGTATATTTTCCTTTGATAATTTCAAGAAAAGTATTAGTGTATGTTTTATGATTGGAAAATTAGAATTGAATAAAAGGGATATTTAATTAAGTTCTTATATATGTGCACAAAATGCATGAAGAAAATGTATTTTCTTTCATATAATTTTTTTATGAATTGGTTGAGATTTGGAGGAATGATTTTTTCTTCTTTTATTGAATTTAATGATATTTATATTTATTTGATTATGTTCTCCAGAAAATTGTTATAATTTGTATTTAGAAATTAAGTCTCAAAGAAGTAGCACTCTTTGTAAAGTTATGGTGGAAAAAAAGATTCATGTATAATTTTCAATTATGATAGAGAATTGATTTTGGCATTGAGAATTCCCATTCTTATTTTTCATTATTCACTATGTTCTTTTATTGCTTAAAGACCGAATTTAACTTAAATATATTGATCGTCTAAAAATTTAACATATGATCAAGTCATTTAAAAAGGTAATTACATTCACTATATCAGTTATAATCATAGTTGAAACTAACTTGTTATAAAGAGAAGTTCTTATTCACTATGTTCTTATTGCTTATAGAGTTTAACTTGTATACATAAACAGTCTAAAAGTATTAACACTATATGATCAAATCATTTAAAAAGGTAATTACAATTAATTAACTACGTTAGTTATAATCCTATAGTCGAAACTAACTTGTTACCTTTTTACAGGTCCAAATAGTCTTGTTGAGGACTTGAGGCAAAGGAATGGCAACAAAGACAAGGGACATTGCCCCTATAGTAAAGGGCAAGAGGAGCCCTAGCACATCCAAGACAAGGTCTCTTGCACACACAAATGCCATTAATCTTATTGCTTCAAATAGGAAAAACACCTATCTCAAGTCCAAAGTTTCTTCTAGTCCTGAGAAAACTCAAGGCAAGAAACCAACACCATCAACTTATCCCAACATTCACCATAAACAAACCCTAGATTATAGAACATCGATCGATAAGCCTCCATCTAATTTTGATAGTACTCAAGTCAAGAAGAATCCAACATTGTTGAATGATCTCAACATTGTCCACAATAAACCAAATGTAGCTCGAGGAAGTTTGTTCGATAATAGGCCTTCTCTACCTTCTAGTCTTGACAATGTTCAAGCCAAGAAGATAGCTTCATCATCTTCTAGCATTCATAATAAACAAAATCCAGCTCAAAGAAGATTATCGTTTGATAATAAGCCTCCTCAATCTCCTAATCTTGATCATAATACTCATGGCAAGAAGATAGCTAGTGATACCAACACTCACAATAAACAAAATCTAGCTCGAAGGAGATTGTCTTTCGATCATAGGCCTCCCCTATCGTCTTTTCATGATCATAGTCCTCAAAGCATGAAACTAGTCCCAAAAAGTGATCATAGCATTCATAGGAAACAAACTCCAACACGAAGAAGATTATCGATTGATCATAAGCCTCCCCTGTCTTCTCCCCAGCTAAAAAGCAGAACATCCTCTACTCCTAGGGAGAGAGTTCTCAAACCATCCATGCCATCTTCAAGTAAGAATTCCACTTCTCATAAACCCCTTTTGAATAAATTTCCCAAAACACCTCATACTAGTACTAAGGATGTTACTAGAAAACAACATAGTGTTGGCCTCTATGCTAAGGCATTGAACATGAACAATACTATAACCAAGAACCAAGATAGTGATATCATAGCAAATATCGTTCCTCATGAGGGTAAAGAGGAAGACCAAGAACTAGTGATTGAAGATAATGGAGAGCTAAGTGAAACTGTAAACATTGATGAATACCTCAAGGCTGCAGAATCATCCTCATTATATGTTGTGGAAAATCAAGAAGTCATCAAGAATATGGAAGTAGCAAAAGAAGAACAACTATTGGTTGACGAAACAAGCATCATCGAAAACCATAAAGAACTAGAAGAAATCAAGAATCTTGAGCCTAGTAATCATGACATTGAAGAGATCGAAAAACAAGAAAACGAGAATCAAGAAGAGAAAGAGAAAGATCAAGAAAATGAAACACCATTGGATGATTGTGAACAAAAGAAAGATGAGGGAAAAGAATTGGATTTGAAGATTGATCAAGAAGAAAGTGAAGGAAGAAACAACAAAGAAAAGGAAGAAAACAACAACAAAGTTAGCACAACTACAATGACATTTGCAAAGGCTTATACACATTTGGTGCATAAGAAGGAAATTGTAGTATCATCTAATGATGTTATTGAAGAAACAGCAAGTAAACTTAGAGAGCAAAGGAAGAATAGGGTGAAAGCATTGGCTAGTGCTTTTGAAACTGTCATCTCTTTGCAAGATTCCAAGTGAGTTTACACTAAATTGTATGAATCATTATTCATTCTTGAACATTGTAACAACTTTTCTTAAATATGTTTTGGACAAATATGAAGTAAAAATATTTCCATGTATTACACGAAAATGTGGAGAAATAGTTAATTCTAACCATGACAAGATTGTACAGTCAAATCTCTCTATAACGATGTCATTTGTTTCTATGTTTTTTAATTGTTATTACAGAGAACATATAATATAGCATGAAAAATCGATTCAAAGAAAGATTTGTCTGTCTGTTATAAAGGATAACTGTCATAGAGAAGTTTGATCGTATACATTTGTAATTATGTAGTCATATGCCATTCATCCCATAAATAGAAAATTTATAAGTGAAAACAAATTCAATAGTAATAGTAATAGTTATAGTAGTAAAGATACAAATATAATAAATTATATCCTCCAAAACTCTCAACATATTATTTATTACTTGCTCAACAAGAAATCTTCATGGATCATTTGCAATACCGAAGTTCCAAAGATATTTGTCTTTCCAATCTAAGTTGTCTTCTAAAATTAGCAATAAACATCTCTGCTCTCTGGTCAACGTCCTTTTCATCATCATCACTATTGCGAGCAATATTACTTTTGATTCTTCGAATGCAATGTGTAGAAGGACCTTCTTGTTGTTCAAATTGATCATCTATGTCGCGAATTGCATCGTATAACGAGCTCTTAGACTTCTTGAACAACCTTATAGGATGCTTCCTTCCAAAGTTTAGGATTTTTGAAGTTAATTTCCATTTGTGCATTTTAGAGCTAAGTAGAAAAATTATGTTCTTGGTTGCTTTGTTCATGAGTGACTTTAATTGTGACAAATTTTGTGTTTTCATGTCTAAGTATTTTTGCTAGCTAGAGAAGAGTTGTAAGTAAAGGAAGCTAAGAGGTTTCTTATATAGAGAAAGAGGAAGGATTAAGAGAGCTAAAAATTGTGAGAGAAGTTACACGGTTTGGGCCAACAAAAAAGAAATTTTTATTCACACTACACACAACTTTTTGGTTTTTTTGTTTGTACTGGTTGAACTGTATAACCATCTCATTTAAAAGTTTAAGTTATTCGATTAAGGTAAAAAATTTGTTTAGTCTTGGTGAGATTTAAATTCACAATCTTCGTTATACTATTACCGTGTTAAGAAAATAGATCTTAGGTCTAATACGAGAGATTGATTAAGGCCTTATTTATTTTTATTAAGATTAAGACATCTGATTGTGAATTTACATCTAAATATTAGGATGGTATACGCAGGATAAAATATATTAAGAGTGGTACGTTTTCTTAATACCCTGAATTTTTCAATATTTATAAATCTTAAAGTAAAAGAAAATACTAATTAACCTAATACTATACTTCAACATTCTTTTAGAAATAATTATATAGTGGTAATTTGTAATGGTGATGACTAACAATGGGGAGTGCGAGTGCCGATTGGGACAGTGATTGATGGTGATGGTTGATTGCTAATGATTGGGGTAATGGATAATCGATGGGTGACGATATATAGTAGTGATTGATGTTGAAAATTACAAGCAAATAGTATATATAACTTTAAGCATGGTTAATTTTGAAGTTACTAAACGTGGGTTCCAAGGATGAACTTTAACCAAGTTTTAGTTGGGTTTCAAAAGTAGGCAAATTGTATGGTCCATTGTGACTTATATAATATTAAGAAGTTATTAATCTTGGGCTCTAAGGACAAAATTATCACTTGATCTTTAACTTCATAAAGGTATTTAAAATTTAAAGGTTGAAGCTAGTCAATAATATGAAACTTTTTTCCTTTTCATTTTCTTGGGTCAACCAAATTCATAATGAGAAATTGTTTGATAATTGAATGCAATATATTCAAGAAAAAGAGAGGAAAAAATGATGCCATCATATACTAGTAGCAATAATAACAACAATAATTATCATCAAATGACTAGCAAATTAAAGAAAAAAAATTAAATATCCCGTTTGTTCAATATAACTAAGATATATCATATATATATATATATATATATATACTATTTATTTCTATCTTTTTCTTTTTGGTTGTAGAACTCAATAAAAGAAGTGAAATTAAATAATAAATCATATCCTTCAAAAACTCTCAATAGTTGATCGATTACTTGCTCAACAAGAAATCTTCATGGATCATTTGCAATATCGAAGCTCCAATGATATTTGTCTTTCCAATCTAAGTTGTCTTCTAAAATTAGCAATAAACATCTCTGCTCTCTTATCAACGTCCTTTTCATCATCATCATTATTGCGAGCAATATTACTTTTGGTTCTTCGAATGCAATGTGTAGAAGGACCTTCTTGTTGTTCAAATTGATCATCTATGTCGCGAATTGCATCGTATAACGAGCTCTTAGACTTCTTGAACAACCTTATAGGATGCTTCCTTCCAAAGTTTAGGATTTTTGAAGTTAATTTCCATTTGTGCATTTTAGAGCTAAGTAGAAAAATTATGTTCTTGGTTGCTTTGTTCATGAGTGACTTTAATTGTGACAAATTTTGTGTTTTCATGTCTAAGTATTTTTGCTAGCTAGAGAAGAGTTGTAAGTAAAGGAAGCTAAGAGGTTTCTTATATAGAGAAAGAGGAAGGATTAAGAGAGCTAAAAATTGTGAGAGAAGTTACACGGTTTGGGCCAACAAAAAAGAAATTTTTATTCACACTACACACAACTTTTTGGTTTTTTTGTTTGTACTGGTTGAACTGTATAACCATCTCATTTAAAAGTTTAAGTTATTCGATTAAGGTAAAAAATTTGTTTAGTCTTGGTGAGATTTAAATTCACAATCTTCGTTATACTATTACCGTGTTAAGAAAATAGATCTTAGGTCTAATACGAGAGATTGATTAAGGCCTTATTTATTTTTATTAAGATTAAGACATCTGATTGTGAATTTACATCTAAATATTAGGATGGTATACGCAGGATAAAATATATTAAGAGTGGTACGTTTTCTTAATACCCTGAATTTTTCAATATTTATAAATCTTAAAGTAAAAGAAAATACTAATTAACCTAATACTATACTTCAACATTCTTTTAGAAATAATTATATAGTGGTAATTTGTAATGGTGATGACTAACAATGGGGAGTGCGAGTGCCGATTGGGACAGTGATTGATGGTGATGGTTGATTGCTAATGATTGGGGTAATGGATAATCGATGGGTGACGATATATAGTAGTGATTGATGTTGAAAATTACAAGCAAATAGTATATATAACTTTAAGCATGGTTAATTTTGAAGTTACTAAACGTGGGTTCCAAGGATGAACTTTAACCAAGTTTTAGTTGGGTTTCAAAAGTAGGCAAATTGTATGGTCCATTGTGACTTATATAATATTAAGAAGTTATTAATCTTGGGCTCTAAGGACAAAATTATCACTTGATCTTTAACTTCATAAAGGTATTTAAAATTTAAAGGTTGAAGCTAGTCAATAATATGAAACTTTTTTCCTTTTCATTTTCTTGGGTCAACCAAATTCATAATGAGAAATTGTTTGATAATTGAATGCAATATATTCAAGAAAAAGAGAGGAAAAAATGATGCCATCATATACTAGTAGCAATAATAACAACAATAATTATCATCAAATGACTAGCAAATTAAAGAAAAAAAATTAAATATCCCGTTTGTTCAATATAACTAAGATATATCATATATATATATATATATATATATACTATTTATTTCTATCTTTTTCTTTTTGGTTGTAGAACTCAATAAAAGAAGTGAAATTAAATAATAAATCATATCCTTCAAAAACTCTCAATAGTTGATCGATTACTTGCTCAACAAGAAATCTTCATGGATCATTTGCAATATCGAAGCTCCAATGATATTTGTCTTTCCAATCTAAGTTGTCTTCTAAAATTAGCAATAAACATCTCTGCTCTCTTATCAACGTCCTTTTCATCATCATCATTATTGCGAGCAATATTACTTTTGGTTCTTCGAATGCAATGTGTAGAAGGACCTTCTTGTTGTTCAAATTGATCATCTATGTCGCGAATTGCATCGTATAACGAGCTCTTAGACTTCTTGAATAACTTTATAGGATGTTTTCTTTGAAAACTTAGGATTCTTGAAGTTAATTTCCATTTTTGTATTTTTGAGCCAAGTAGAAAAGTTATCTTCATGGTTGCTTTGCTCATTAGTGACTTTAATAATGACCAATTTTGTGTTTTCATGGCTAAGTATTTTTGCTAGAGAAGAGTAGTTTTTTGTGTTTTGTGTTGGAGAGAGTAGTGGGAGTATATGACTGAATTAAGCTAAGGATGTCTTATATAGAGAGAGGAAGAAAGATGGGAAATAGTTGATAAATTGTGAGAGAAGTCACACGGTTTGGCCACACAAATATACAGTATAAAATAAATGTTAGATTGAACCTAAATTTGACATTTCCTATTTGTCACAATAATTCTTTAATGTATCTTAGACAATAGTATATTCAGTGAAATTCACAAGTGTAGTCTAAAGAAGGCAAAGTGTACGGAAATCTTACTCTTATCTCGTGGAATAGAGCGATTATTTCAAAGGACATTGATTCGAGTGCAACAAATCAAAATAGTTATGAAAAGAGAAAAGGACATTAACATAAACATGATAACTAATAAAGAAGGCAGTGCAGAACATTCAGAAAAGGATTATTAACAACAACAAAATAGCGTGCTGACGAAAACACCTATAAACACCACATGGTGCAAATATCAAAAATAGAACACAACAAAAATAAAGTTAATATTACGATAGACATGGTGCTCCAAAATTCAAATTACCACCGAGTAAAAGGTAACAATTCAATAAGTTACTTGTTGTAAAGCTTAGGTTGATAAATAAGATACTATTAATTCTATTTTCACAATATTCATTTATTAGTAATATTTTTGTTTTAAAAATAAAATTACTTAATCCAAAAATATTTATTTTATATATAAAAGATGTTACAAACAACGTGATTTGATATTTAAAGGTA